CTCGTCATGACATCTTTCCAAGACCTCATAGTCCAGAACCCAAAGTAGCCCTGGCCAAACCTCAGAGATCTGGTGCCAAAGAAGCGCTGTTTGTTCTGGACTCCTCACGCAATGTGTCAGCAGGACAAGTGTCTTTGAACCTGCTGTCAGATGCCACAAAACACGAAGCAAGTCTTGATGGCAACCGCTTCCATATGTTACATCAGACCCTACAATCAAATCGAAATGTCCAGAAGGCCAAGGTGGATCGGTGTGCCAGTCAAGCTGGGCTACTTCGAATCGTTGCGCTTCCTTTCCAAGCTGTGCCGTGCGCTTCAGTCGTTGCACAACTTCATGTCTGTCCGTTGCGGTAACCTCTGCGCCAAGGTAGGCTGCAACTGCAGACACCAGGCCGCACCCAGCACCTAGTTCCAACATTCTCTGACCCTCCACCAGGGACCTGTTCTCGCAAAGGAGATTGCTCAAACAATGTGCAGCCTCCCAAACAATGAATCCTGTGATAGAGAAGCCATTGGAAGACTCCTCGAACTGTACTTCCACCTGGCCGGATAAGCTTCGCCATGTTCGGATCGCTGTGGCAGTGTTTGCTTGCATGTCAACCAAGACGACATGATGATTTGAGTGCTTTGACTCTGATGCTCAAATACCAGGGCTTTAACCAAGCGTGCTGACAACCTTTGCAACAGTCTCCTGCTGGCGGGGAACAACAATGTTCATATGGCGCAAGGGCTTCAGACAAACTGCATGACGACCCAAACAATCCACGACTCGAGATGATGAGCCTGCTCATGCTGTACATGGTATCTCTTGGACGTTACCGTCATGTCACATTGTTGGAGAGCAGCTTCTGTTTGCTCTTTTTCCATGATCAGTTGGACACGCCAGGCGGCCATGTCCTCAAGGCAGCGCTGGCAGACGTTGCAACATCAGTTTGAGGCATGAGCTTATCACAAGTTTCAGGTCAACTGTCTGCGGCAACCAAACAGCTTTGAACCCCCCCACTCAAGGCGCACCCTGCAGACCTTGCCACCCACTTCCAGCAACAAACAAAGATGAGTTTTCGACATCCTCTTCATACCGGTGACAAGGCTAGCTGACACCCACTTTGTGCAGTCCGTGTGTGCAGGTAGATGCGGTTGGTGTGCCAGGACAAAGGGATGACGCCACGGTAACTCATCCGCCTCAAGCTTGGCAAGACAAACTCGGTGGATGGAAGCGTTGTTCTATTTAATGCAGCCTCAACTGCTTGAGAGAGCAGGGATCGGATGTAAGCATGCGCATGTCTGGCGAGAAGGTGTGCTGTTAACAGATTGAATGCCTGACGCCCTCCTTCTCGTCTGGCATCAAGCTGAACTTCTGCGCCACAGCCTGCAAACTGCTGCAAGCTCTCAGGAGTTCTCAGATCAGGCAGAAGCTGCTGTTCCGACCTCGTTTGTGTATTGTTGCTGCCTGGCCTTGTACTTCGCATCCTCGTACTCTATTCGAAGAACCTGGCTTGGAAGATTACATTCGTGGCTGAGTTCCCCCCCGAAGCTACGTGTGGTGCTCACAAAACCCCTGGAGATTACTCAACAAGTTTGCTGGATCACTTGTGGCATGTGATGTCCGATGGATTGGCCTTTGACTGGCCGGCGTAGCTGTCAACGTTCTCGACATTGATGGCAGCTGCCTGCGGAGAATCAGAAATAAGCTTGGCATCTGGCTTTCGTTGGGCTGGCTTTTCCCGGTGAATCTGAGTCCCAGGCTGAGCGAAGCTGAGATGTAAGGTAGTCATCGAATGCCTCTGAAAGCCCACAGCATTTCACAGCAAACTGCAAGCACCACGCTTTTGCATGCAATAGATTTCTGATGCCTCAGAGCAGAAGCCATTCGTGGCGTTTGGGGTCTCTGTCAAGCTTCAATGCTTCCAAAAATGCTAAAGTGGGAGAATCCGAGGCGACTACAATCATGCTTGGAACGGGTGCAAGCACATGGAATCAACAACCATGTTGGGGGTGTTGTTTGTACATCTGTGATCATGACAATTTGGCTTCATGTATTCCAGTGGCAATTGGCTGGCACCTTTGCTAGCATGGAAAGGTGCAGTACTGCGCATCGTGCAAAGTGCAGTGGGTTGTGCGCAAAAGCCAGAACGCACCAGAAGCACGAGGACCGATCCCGTGACCCGAAGCCCTTTGGCCTCCTTGCTTGCCACTTTGGTGGCTGTCTTGAAGTGCACTACGTAGCATACAGGCATTGTTCTGGCACTTGAGGGGAGGTGCCTATGTCGAAAAGCGGATTGTGAGTCCTTGGCCCTGGCCTGGGCCGAGGCCAGGTGCGACAAGTCCTAGCAAAGAACGCCCGAAAGCTCATGGCACAGGGACTGACAAAAGACCAGGTTTTCGGATGCATTGCGCAGGAAGATCATGACAATTCCCCTTAAACGAACAGCATCTGAAGCCTCTGTAGAAACATACCCCATTGGCAGCAACCACTTGCTTCAACAGTCGTCAGTTAAGCGAAGAGCCCCGACATCCAAAGACACTTCCTACAAATCTTACACGTGGGATTGATATGTGCTGATCTCGTGATGAATGGCTTTGTAGGGCGACATACATCTCAAAAGCTGCCAGTCTCAATGCCCTGAGACAATTCAAGTCTCCTGCTTGCTCCAATCCACCATCACATCATTCAGCTTGATCTTCCTGGACGTGGCTCGTCAAGTCGCAAATCGCAACCCAAGCCCCCCTTTTCAATTCCTTAGCAATTATGAAGTGTACAACAGTCCAACGAAATGGAAATACGCACGCTTTCAACCCACGTAAACACCCCAAAACGATCCGAAAGCATAGCAGGAGCTACAACTCGTCTAGGGTCAACAAAACAAAAACTGCTGCTGTTACTATTGCTGATATTACTACTACTACTACTACTACTACTACTACTACTACTACTACTACTACTACTACTACTACTACTACTACTACTACTACTACTACTACTACCATTCGTACTATTAGTACCACAAGTACCACCAGTACCACCAGTACCACTAATATCACTAGTATCACTAGTATCACTAGTATCACTAGTATCACTAGTATCACTAGTATCACTAGTATCACTACTATCACTACTACTACTACTACTACTACTACTACTACTACTACTACTACTACTACTACTACTACTACTACTACCACTACCACTACCACTACCACTACCATTACGACTACGACTACTACTACTACTGCTACTACTACTACTACTACTACTACTACTACTCCTACTGCTACTGCTACAGCTACTACTACTACTACTACTACTACTACTACTACTACTACTACTACTACTACTACTACTACTACTACTACTACTACTATTCGTACTATTAGTACTATTAGTACTAGTAGTACTTAGTACCACTAGTACCACTAATCTCAGTAGTATCACGAGTATATCACTACTATCACTACTATCACTACTATCACTACTACTACTACTACTACTACTACTACTACTACTACTACTACTACTACTACTACTACTACTACTACTACCATTACGACGACGACTACTATTACTACTACGACAACGACGACGACTACTATTATTAATTGAACGCTGAGCGAGCGGGCTCTGCTCATAGCGGGCGATTCTGAAACTTCGGGAGGCGCCATGCCCTTGGCTTGCTCCGCCCGTGAGACGTGCCGTGCCGTGGCCAGCTCCGCCCTTCGGACGTGCCTTGACCATTACTACTACGACTACGACGACTACTACTACTACTACTACTACTACTACTAGTACTACTACTACTACTACTACTACTACTACTGCTACTACTACTACTACGCAACTACGCTACTACTACTACTACTACTACTACTACTACTACTACTACTACTACTACTACTACTACTACTACTACTACTACTACTACTACTACTACTACTACTACTACTACTACACTACACCAACTACTACTACTACTACTACTACTACTACTACTACTACTACTACTACTACTACTACTACTACTACTACTACTACTACTACTACTACTACTACTACTACTCCTACTGCTACTTCTACTGCTACTACTACTACTACGACTACTACTACTACTCTTACTCTTACTCTTACTCTTACTCTTACTCTTACTCTTACTCTTACTCTTACTACTACTATTACTACTACTACGACTACGACTACTACTAAGTACTAGTACGACTATTTCTCCTACTCCTCTCTTAATCCTCTACCAGCGACGCTGCCATGCTGCACGTGCCATTCTGTGGGAATGCTGGTCCATCTTTGCGAAACCAATGTAGTGGTGCAAAGACGCTTTGGTCTTTGCTCACGAAGCACTTCACTGTGATCGAGTTTTGTGGTGAGCGCGGGGGCCTAGCACTACAAACAACCTCCAGGACAAAAATGCTTCTTCTTCTGCAGTGCCTAATGGGGTGAACCTCGCGCAAAGCCGCGTGCCGTTCGTCTCAGTCCTTCGTGAAACCGTTTCTCTCTGAGTCTCTGTCTGGCTGTGTTCCTGTGTGCTGCCGCGAGCAAAATAGCTGCAACACATGCGCGTGCTACTGCGTGCTAGTACTTTTCATGCATTCAGTACTTGCTCATCAAATTCGTACCATATCATATTGAGGGTTCCAGTTCTGATGGTCCGAGTGCCGAGCCCCAAGTGTTGCTTGAAGAACTGACCTTCGCAAGTACAGAAACTTGAAAATCTAGTCCAAACTGCTCACTCAAGAACGGTACGACAGTGCAAGAGGCGATAAGACAGGAAAGCCCGCTGCCAGTTGAATGTTCAAGTTTCACCTCAAGCAGAACAAGCATGCTCGGCACCTCCAGAAACACCCTCCTCGCCAAAGGTGAATGAGCGGCTAATCTCCGGCCTGTTTGCTACAGCACTGCAAGTTGAAAGGCAGTGATGCCACACATTTTACAAGCATCGCCGGAACAAGTGTGGAACAACATGATTCACAGAACTTACATCTTACCAAAGGCCGCATGCGGCAACACTTTTGAGTAAACCATTTGGTCCCGTCAGCACATCCCACAGCTGCACAGAACAAACTCGGTATTCGTGTGCAAAACTGCACCTACTTCACTCTCGCGCCTGATGCAGTGCCTACCTTTGCGAACATCTGGTCTTCTCATGAACTCGTCCCAATAGGCAGCCTGCATGATGCCGATTTCAAAACCCAGGAAGGCGACGCTCACAAGCACCATGTCTACTGTTCATATCGTGGGTCTGCATGTCGAGCTTGTGCCGAGGCTAGGATGTGCACCGCCAGCTCTTTTTGAAGCCAAAGCGTCAATGTCACAGGTGTGCGCATCCGTGAGTTGGAGAAGCTTAGGACATTTGCATGAGTTCAACGATTGGAGAAGTTTAGGACTTCTGCATGAGTTCAAAGAAATCCTTCCAGCTCAGTTGTCCGTCGCAGATCTCTGCTAGGCTTTCACTGCAAACGCCTCAGCTCAAGGGAAAGTAGCCGTCAACAAAAAGCGGGAAAGACAACATGCTATGACATGCTGGATGTGGAGCTCTGGTTCCAAGACTTCTGGGACTTCATGCCAGGAAACCTTTCTCATCCTTGCCAGAGTAAAAGGCCTGCCGCATGTGAGCTGCATCAAAAGAACGTGGCAGAGCGAGCTAGAGGGGCCAAAGGGCGCAAGCTCCTTGTCCCTCTTGCGTGCTCGGCATGCTGTTGTAGAATTTCAATGGGCTGGCCTCACTAGTGCCTCATTCTGCATTTAGGATGGCAGGCAGCTGTACTGCACACAACACTCACAACGGCAGATGCAAGGGTATCAGTGCGCATGTTAAGACACGTTCGTGGAACAAGCCTGTGCCAGGTCAGAGGCATCAATGAATCCATCGCGATTCCGATCCAATATCTCGAAAACACCTCGAGCTGTGATACTTTGAATGCTTGGCGGAAACTCTTCTGCTCAGCGACGGAGGCCAAACCCATGGAGCCCCCGGCTCTCTCTTTCTCTCTCTCTCTCGCTCTGCACGCTTGGCCCCGAAGGGAGGCCGGCCCGAAGGTGAGCACGTTACGTAAGCTTTGGGCTTCGGCGGCCGCTTGGCCGATTTAGCATGTACCCCGGCTCTGGAATCTCAAAAAAATCTATGATGCAAGAGTACCATGGAATTTGAACGGAACGGGACTATATTTTTCCTCTCTTCCTTCCTTCCTTCCTCGCTCTTGGCCCTCCCCTCCGATGAAGTACCGAGTTTGTTCATCGGATTGCCTTTGGACTGACGAACCAAGTGGAAAACCAAGCCTCAACCCCCTACATCCTCAATGAACTGTCCCCAGTTGATCCTCTGTAGGGGATGCTCCGCTTTGGGCTCGCGGACTTTCGATTCCAGGTTGTCCCTGGACAGGGCTTTCCAACTGCCACAGAACGGTCTTCACGGAGCGGAAGGCGCAAAAACTCCCAGCCAAAAACGTGCACTTACCGATGTCGGACCGAGAAGGCAAGGTGTCCAAGCCCTTAATTCAGAACTGTGGCTGATACTGAATGGATCATTTGTGGGCTCGTGCTTCACCCACATTTTTCCCGGGACTGCTTGGTTCTGTTCTCTGTCCCCTTGCCCCCCAAACTTGTGTGGCAGTAGACGCCGAGGTGGTTGTGGGTTGCCGTTTTCGATTCTTTCCCGCTGGGGCTGTTCTGGTAGTAGACGCCGAGGTGGTTGCGGGCTTGCGTTTTCGACCCCTTCCGCCTGGAACTGTTCTCGCAGTAGACGACGAGGTTTGTGGTTGCGGGATCTCGTTGCCCCTGGCCCGTGCCGCTGGCTTTCTCACCTGCTGTATTCCTCGAACTGGAGCTGGCAGTCGCGGCAGACGTGGCCTGCTGCTTGCCAGGCCAGGGGTGCCCCTTTTTCTGCGTCCCCATCAGGTAGATGACGCCGGTGATGTCGGGTTCGGTCATGGCTTCGCTCTGTAACGTGTAAGACATCAAACTGCACACAAGGCCCCTTCACGAATGCCTGAAAGATCAACCGGCGCACTCTGCTAGGCGCGTCTACTTTGCTCGCTGTGTTAGCCCCAGGTCAGCGTGCCTTTTTTTAGAGTCTTCCCTCCTTCTTCTTTTTCTGCAGGGCATAGGGGAAGCCCCCCCCCTCTCTCTCTCTTCTTCTTCTTCTTCTGCTTCTTCTACGGGGCTTGAGGAACCCCAAAGGGCCCCCCGCGCGCTGGGCGCGCCCAGATCAAGTTGCCCAGACGTCAGGAGTTCCCCGGAAAACCCTCCCGGACTAACCCACCCCTCACCTCTCGATTCAGACCCCTCGTAAACCTCCTGGGGAGCTCATCGTCATCGACACTCTCCTGCCTCGTTGGTGAAACTGCCGGATTATATGCGCCGCTGTTGCCCCTATCCCCTTACTGAAAGTGCACTTTACCCTGTTTGCGCTCCGGCTAGTTAGCCAGTGGCTCTCTCTCTCTCTCTCTCTCTTTCTCTATCTCTCTCCCGCACGCATGGCCCCCTCCCGAAGGAGAAGGCCGCCCCCAGGGGCGCGCAAGTCCGAAGGTCTGTTGGAATGAGGGGCTTACTACGGTTTTCGTAGTCCCCTTTCAGAAAATGGAGTGGTCGCAGGGGAAAAACATGCTCTCTCTCTCTCTCTCTTATAAGTCCGAGGAACGGCGGCAGAAGTTCCGATCACCGCGAGCTTTGCGCGGCAGCGTGGCGGAGAGAAACTCGATGTAGGTGATATAACCTTCAACGCGGAAACTTCGAAGCTGCTTCCTGTTGGGATCACCATCACCCTTGCTCCGACTGTGTAGTGTCTTGGTTTGGAAATTCAGGACCACTCTAAAGTGCTCTTGTCTGGAAGATAGAACCAAAGTCTACCAAATTACCGGACAAGTGGTCGTTGATGGAGTTTAACACAGGCTATCTTATTCCCGTGCTTCTCGTACTATGCTGCTCCTGTGCACAGTGTGTGCAAAAGCTTGGCAAAGGCTGCCCGGATGCTACGTCGACTGTTGGCATGAAAGCAAATAAAGACGCAAAAGCAGGTAAGCTGAGGCGAGCTGCAAAAAACATGTGGATAACATGGTCCATCAGTGAAAGCCAGCGTGCCATGAAGTGGGAGGAGGGAAAGAGAGACGGACAGAGAGGGAGACAGAGAGAGAGCGAGAGAGAGATACAGAGATAGAGAGAGAGAGAGAGAGAGCAAGTGGAAAGCAAGCAACAATAGGTGGAAGTCCCAGCACATTTTCTCGCGGACTTTCCTGTGTATTCAAGTGCATTTCACGTCACAGATTTCATGTGGAAAGCCGCGAGAGAGCCATGTGTGACTGTTCGATACTATTCAAACTATTCGTTCTGGGGACAGGATGCCATTGAGGGTGAATGCGAAGGCGAAGAGTCCTTGCCGACATCTTTACTGCGCTGTGAGGCAAGCGGACAGCTGATCAAAGGCAGCAACGAGGACCCCAGACAATGTTTTACGTGTATGGAGCACCGTGAAACACCATGATGGTGCTGAGAAGCTTCGCATACAACGCTTTTTGGCACGCACCGCGAACTATGATAGAATGCTTTTGAGGTGATTCCGAAATAGTTCAGAAGTGAAAGTTGCAGACAAATCTTTGCACACGGCTGTTTGCTGGAAATCTGGGTGGTTCACGAGCTTTCCTGCTAGACGTCTTGCATGTAGCGCGGTGTCTGCGATCTCGTCTGCATCAAGATGCCATCAGAATCGCTCTCTCTTCTTTTTTTGCAGAGGGTTACTATGCAGATCCTGCCGCGGTCCCCAACGCAATTCACTCTAGTGTTTGGGCATCATTCGTAACAGTCGCACTATTATGCGAGTATTCTGAAATTCGCTCCTACACTGCTTCTGCACACATGCCCACCAAAAACACCAGGCCGTCGTCATCCAAATCCACACCGCTGAAGGCTGTCTCCAGCATCTCTGGCACGGGCGTGCCTTGCACAATTTGTCTGTGCAAAAGCAAACGTCGTGGAGGTTTTGGCCCATCCAACTTCACAGGTCTTTGACAAGAGATTGCTGCGATCTGCTAGAGGCTCTGGTCTAGACAGTTTGCAGACATGGACCACAACTTAATTGATGTTGTGGAGGAGGGGCCGCTTTCTTCGTAGAACGACTCGAGTTCCTCCATGGACAGGCCACCGCTGACCGTCCTGTTCAGATGTGAACTGGTATGAAATGATGCGAGAATTATGCTCAAAAGTGCAGCGCCATCGAAGGTCAGGCTGGGGTGTTGCAGTCTGTACAAACTGGCAGGGGTGTCTAGGCCAACGTGCGTTTGTTTCGAATGGACCCATCCCTGCAGTGGCCTGTTGTGTTTCAGGGAGAGTAGATTGACGTACAGCAACTAAAGATCGAATTGCGGCACAAAGCATCCTCCTGCCAACGAACATGACAGCACATCAAACGAACATTCTTGCTTGTGTGCGGTTTTACTGGCCTGAAAGTACAGAACTTATGAAATGTGACGTGAGGTGGGATCCAGAAACCTCTCAAACCCAGCTTCCCAGCGCTCATTGTCAGAAACGGGCCGCGGATTGAGCAACATGCGTGTAACTCCCTAAGTCGACTTCACAGAGGGCGTTTCGAATTTAATCCGAAGACGAAAGAAATGGATTTCGAAGGGTTTGGCAGAATTCAGGATGCCCTTGCAGCGATTATCGCCAAATCTGAGCGAAAACCTCCATATCAGTCCCTGTACTGACCTACCTGTCAAGCTTGGTGAAGGCCGCGCGTTGCGGCCGAGCATGCTTGAAGCTGTAGGCACCGACATGTGCCATCCTGGGTCAATCAATGCGCAAGCTGACATTCGGTGCTTAGATGCCCACGGAGTGCCATTGTCATAATCAGAGCCAAACGGCAATAGCACAGCTGCACGGATGAGAACCGGCTGCGCTGCAAAGTCTGTGAAATGCTCCACCAAATTGTCCAAGATCTCCTGGGCCGAAATGGAAACGTAGACGCATGTCTGCACGGACTGCCTATCAGCACAAATGCGCGCCCGAGGCTACGCTTCAAAGACAAACCGGGGCTTTTCAATTGTACGCTCAGCCAAAATTATTTGGGCACGGCATGTCAAGACGTCACGTCCTGTGCTTCGCGGTCCAGCTCTGCATACTCAGGGTTGTGTTTGCGGAGTGCCTCAGCCGCCTCCTTCGCGCGTTGATCGGTTTAAGACTGGGGCTTTGCGCTGATGCATCTCGGTTTGGTACTGCATGGGCCGGTAAACTGAAATCGCACGGCCTTCTCGCTATGCAGCGTGAAGAAGGGATGTTGCAGCGCTTCCCGTGCAGTGAGCCTCAAGTGGCGGTCGTGGCCTGGGATGCCAGAAGACTCCAGATCCACAAATTATGGTGATCCTACAATATCCTACACACACATTAAGTGGAAGGAACCATAGGTCACACCTGAGGCTGCAGACTATCCCTGTTGGCAGTCGACAAGGCTTGGCAGGGTTTTGGTCGTATGGTGTTGTCCAGATTTGTCCACTCAATCGAACCGAAGAAGCCATGGGAGTGTGGGGGTGAGCGGGAGTGCAGCAGTGCATCAGCAAGTGCATTTCTTGGTTTCATGCTTTCAGGCTCAAACTAAATCTTAGCTTAAAGCCGAAGTTGAGGGTTTAGAAGCTAAACCACTCCTCGTGGCCATTGCAGAGCCCTGATTCCATGACATCTCAACTGGTGTTTTTCTGAGAATGAAACATTCACCCGAAGATATTGCGAGATGCGCATTAGTCTGCTGACGAGGTCGATCGCTTCCTGTCAGAAAACGCACTCATTCTAAGTCACTAACTTTGTTCGAATGGACAGGGCACCCCTTTTGGCCCTGTACGACAAGAAGGCAGCTAGCGAAAGCTACCTCTTCACTCATTGCAGTGCAACCGAGCTGAACAATACTCGACAAGTTCCGGCTTGAGGGTCTCTCTGCGTGATTGCCTTGGATAAGCCTGAATCGCGAAGAACTCGAAGCCTGGGACATTTTTGTTGCTGAAGGGGCAACATGCATGGTGGGCCTTTGCGTCACTGCGGACGCAGTGCGGAACATATACCGTCCAAAAAGAGCTCGCTGAAATGCTCTCACGCGCGCACAGCATACCATAGTATCCCATTTGCTCAACCGTACCTTTCGCGACGACCAACCCACCGCCCGTCCTTGGGTTTGCCAGGTCTAGGCACCTTCATCTACTGTAGGAGGCTGCTCCCCTCCTGCCACCCATCCCTGGTGCCGCCGGCACGCGCGCAAAGCGCCGTACCCCCGCCGCCTGTCCTGCAGCACTTTATATTTTACATATACGGAAGAACACTTGTGCGTGTACGGGACGTTTTAGATGGATTTGCACGTCTCGAGGCGCTTCGGTTCCCTTGAGTGTTTACAAGCTTTTGCTAAACTCAGGCTTTCTTTAGAGGCTTTCAGATGCCCTGGAGGTACATTTGCGTTCTTCGGGGCTCCAGCACTTTGGAAGACCTTCTTTGGAGGTTTTGAAGATCTTCTAGAAGGCCTGGAGGTAAATTGTGCGCTTCGTGGCATTTCGGCTCCCGGTCCTGTTTGAAGGTGTTCTCAGGCTTTCGAGGCTTTCGAAACCTGGAAGTACGTCTGCGAGTTTTCAGGGCGGTTTGGTTCTCGGGCCTTTTTCAAGGCGTGATGATTCGATCTTTGCTTGTTTCGTGGAGTCTTTTTTGAGTTTCTTGCCAAGGACGTTTAGGGGGCTTGTAGAAACCCTGGAGGTGCAAAAACACGATCAGGTTCACAATGTTTATGCGGCTTAGACTCTTGGCCCGTTTAAAGGTGGTTTATGGCTTTTGTTGGCCCAGGAGGCATAACGTTGAAGGCGCTTTAGAGGCTTGCAAGCATTTCGGGGCATTTTGTCGCTTTTTAAAACGCGCTTAGAAGCCTTTTTCATGTACAGTTGACTGGCATGCATCTGTGCATTTTGGACGAGCACTTTTTCAAACCATCGCAAACAAATTTGCAAGGGTGTTAATTCAACCCATTTCGTGTGAAGTGGACCCACTGGCGTGAAACACACCTCACTACACAAACTGCGCAGTCGCAAGGTCATGCTGTGTTACCGGGAGCACGGAATGAGAAGTCCACAACAGCAGCGCATGGCACGAAGCAAGCTGCGCAAAACGGACATGACATCACATGATACCAACCAGCGTGTAACGTGGCATTCTGCAAGGCTCAGCTGCTTTTCGGAAAGGAGAACGAAAAGCGGATTGCATAACAAGACTGGATGTGACAGCAATTCTGGAACAAGGAAGGCGGAATGATACACATGAATCATAATGAATCAACATACCGAAGCTATAGCTCTGGCCACCGATGTTCTGGGAGCACGGATGTCCTCATCGTGCGGGCAAGGCTATGGCAACTGGATGCAACATGGACGTTCTTATCGTGCGGGCATGGGGTGCAGCAACATGGGTCGCGTGGGAATGAGTGCTCTGGATGTGGTGGATGCTCTGGCCACTGCGTGCTCTGGTAGCATGGACGTTCTTCTCGTGCGGGCATGAATGCCCTGCTCTGGTTATGTGTGGACGGCACGGATGCTCCGGCAACTGGATGCACTGGAAACATGGATGTTCTTGTCGTGCGGGCATGGATGCTCTGGCCATATGACGCCTCTGTGGCACGCATCGCACGCTCGAACGTTTCGGTAACAACATGAAAGCTGCTTCTGGTAGGTGTAAACTCCCATTGGCACACTTTGGCGAACCGTTGCATCTATACCTTTTCCCTGATCAAGGGTCCACCAATGTCACGCTGTGTGCCGATACACATACACCATCCCAACCCTGAAACAATGATGCCACATATGTAGAGACCCAATGCTATGATGTGGCATTCCGAACCCTTCACAAGGTCTCTCCGCGGTCAACTTTACACAACGCAGCTCGACTTGACCCCAGTACCCAGTAGTAGCGGTTTTTAAAGCCCTGGAGCGCTTTGGGTCTTCATTCCATACTGCTTGAAGCCTTTGATGCAAGGCAAGCAGGCTTAAAGCCCTTGGTGATCTGGCGCTTGCTTGCAGCCAAGCCACCTATTTCGAACCCACTTGCGGTCTTTGGCAAGAATTTTGATGTCGTCATCACCCATCATGGGTGGAAAGAAAGGTTTGCCTCCAATGCAGCAGCAAATAGCAGCAATCGAAGAGTCTGAAAAGGTCCTTTGGAAGATCTAAACGTGGGCTGCAGTCTGAAGTCTGGACTACTCGACTACTCGAGGCTGCAGTAGTGCACAGGCATATGCAGGACCTACGTCCGTGTCTCCACTGTGCCTGTAAGCAGATTAAAGAAAACGGCGCCGCACCCCCAGCTGTCTGCTTCCGGCCCAAAAAAGCCATCCTTGGGTCTTCGAGCTATAGGGATCTATTGAAGCCGGTACACTGCTCGGACCATATCGACCTTTGTCAAGCGACATAAATCTCTGGCGCCATGTAGGCGCTTGTTCCACGGATCTCTTTGCGACCTTGCGATTGCAAGTCTCAAGGAATGCTGGAAACCTCGACAAGCTGGAGCCAGAGCTTTGCCATATCATGCCCTATTAAGAGTCCATATGTTAGTCAGTGCGGCAGCGGTAGTTGACGAAACCCTGCCTCATAACTGGTAACGCGGCAAGTGGCTCTTTTTGAATCGTGAGGCCAGTCCCAAATCGATCATCTTTAGCTTCGTCATGTCCTTAGACAGTGGTGAACAGCTTGCGGATTCTCGCAGCCACAGGTGATCAAGTTGTGTTCTTGGAAAAAAGCATCGCGAGTTGTGGCTTCCTCTCACAGGCCCTTCAGGGACTCTACAAACTGACTTTGACCCTGCCGCCGCACTGTGGAGCTTCGCCCAGCCCACAAAAACACGGCATCGGCCGTTACTGGGTTCGGGCCAAGCGAATGAAGGGCCCGATTCTGGCTGGGAATGCTACTCCGCCTTGAACGCTGGCTCCCAGCCTTTCACTACGGCCGGCAACTTTTCGTCCCGAATGCCCTCCCCAATGCAAGCGGCCCACGGTTTTCATGCATCAGTTCCGAGGAAGTGTACTTCTCAACGTGTACTCTCTGTGCGTATTCCAAGGGCGCATTCTTGAGGTTTGTGAGGACGACATCTCTTCAAAAATGAGCAAGGACGCCCGCGTGGCAATTAAAGGAATTCACCCGTCGTCCGAAGTTGTGAAAAGTGCAGCATCGTATGAAGCATGACTAAGTTGTGTCGTCTAGGCTCCACGCCGTGCTGCGGTAGATGAAATTCCTTAGTCCACACGGTGGAGGAAGTAGTAGCCGTTCTGCCAGAATGGAGAAGCTAAGGTTTGGAATACTCTGTCTAACGTTTTCACAAAGGCAATCACGGGGAATGCCAGGGCCCAGGACCGCGGCTGCAACACTAAATGTGCGAACATGGCGTCTCCGGCTTCACGTCAAAGTGCCCCATGTAGTGCTCGTGGCAGCACTTCAATGCAGCAAGCATTTGCCGCATAGTGGTTGCAGCCTGCCGGCCGCTAGCATGAAGCTTGTCCATCCCAGCTGCTCTTCGCGTGAACGTGACAGAAACGAAGGTTGCACTATGCTACACTGCACGTACATGTCATGTCCACAGCGCAATGGTCTCCAGAACTTTGTCATCGCAGGCCTCCTTCTCCTCAACCCGGCCTTCCTGTTCGAGCCGTGTTTGCAAGTCGGGGCCTTCCCAGCACTGTCTGGCTGTGGGGTCTGTGTGGTGGGAGGCCACATTGTGTGAAATTGGCATGCCTTCGCACAGCTCGAAAACGAGGTACATGTAACTTCCTTCATCGAAGTATCTGACGAGCTTCACCTCAGCTGAGATACGGAATCACTCACTCCACTTTCCAAATACGCAGCATCACGCCACGTTCAACCAACCGAACCGGAAATAGTTGAGAGATCACAGGCCTTCATGTCTTGGCAAAAGATTTGGATTGCCCGGTGGCTTGTTTGTTCAGGACAGGAGGGCATTCGGAACCATCAGACGACTCACAGGAACCGTGAGATCATTCTCCGACATGTTCCGAACAGCACCAACCAACCAGGAACTGGCTCGAAACCGAACCTCCATGGACCAAGTGGGTCTTGTGATGAAATCACGGTTCTTGAAATGCTATTAAGATGCTACACTGCCGCTATACATCGCCGCTCAAAGAAACCACTCGACGAGTTTGAGCAAGACTTTCCTGCGGTTGATACCAGTAGAGAGGAGTTTAGCATTGGCTGCAAAAATCTGCAGTACTTGCAGGATCCTAAGCGAAGGGAGTGGCTTTGCGCAGTCATGAGAGCACGGAGTGTGCGAGCTTGTGGTATGTTTAAGCATCAGCTTGTCAAGTTTGCAAGAGAGCCTCGGAGCTGAAGATGACCAGTGGGAACTCGGATGAGGGTTGCGGAGTGCCGGGAGATCTCGCCCAGCAAACTTCGTGAGTCATGGAGTATCACATAGTATTGAGATCGGGCTGCATGCAACCGTCGTGGAGTACACACGATATTGAATGATCGCGAGATGCTAAAATCTGGACCCTCAAACCCACGAGACCATTCCCCTACACCCTAACCTTAAGTCGTTCAGATAAGCTATTCCTTGGTGTGTGAGCAAAGCAATAAAGAGTCTACAAAAGTCTATCCAGATGTCCACCCCTTGGAGACACAAGGGCCTATGACCAGGTCAGTAAATAAGTCTCCAAACTAGTCTCTCTCTAGTCAGGCCCAAAAAAGCATGATGGTCCGGATAGACTTTTCGGAGACTTTTGGGAGAAATTTCGAGACATTTGGAATTTTGTTGGAGACCTGTTTGGGGACTTTTTGGAGACTTACTGAAGACTTTTTGGAGACTTTTTGGAGACCTTTTCGAGACTTTTCACAAGGAAAAGTCTCTCCTGTAGATCTTCCCCCGCCCGCTCCTTGCCACCCCCCTTCCCCCAAAACCCTGGAGACTTTGTTTGAGTTTTTCTTGAGTCGGTTTGGGAGTTGTTTCAGGACTCGTAGCAGACTTTTTTTTGATTTGTGCCTGAGTCGGTTTGGAGCTGTTCCAGGGCTCTTTGCTTCAATCCGGGTGACTCAACGGTGGACTTGGAAGGGACTTTAAATTGACTTTATCTTATTTAGCTGATTTCCAGAACAAGCTGTTTAGCGAACGACATAACCCTAACCTCCGTAAGAAGTGCCAGGATGCTAAACGGCCTCACATGAAATATCTTAGATCCGTCTCACACCCAACTCTGAACCGCACTCCCAAACTCGACCAAACTGTAACCTTCCTGAAGCCATCCTGGCTGATCACCCATAATGGCAGGTGAAGGCGATCATCCTACCTGACTGCTCTCTGCATCTCTCTGCCCTGTTCAAAAGAGTTCAAGACATTTCGGACCTTGCTCCAAGAGTGGCAACGTTCGGATGGTCCAAGTCCATCAAGGCGTGGATTTCATTCATCAGAAGCTCTTGCCTTCAGAAGGTCAACGCACCATACTCTCTCTCTAACATGAAGAAAGCAACCACTCTGAGATGGGGACAACTTGCTGTCGGTCTCGGACTTTCGGATCTTCTTGACCTGTCTGCTTAGGGTACTTTATGTGAGTCCACAGCGAACATCGACAAGAGCGGAAGGTCGCCGAAGGAAGCCTGAGCTTCCCACTGCAAACTTGAATCCTGGCCCCAGTACCTGGCAGCTTCCGACTCCCCTAGCGCTGCACCAAATCAAAGCGGAGCAGCATTGCGCAGCCAAAGCCCGCGAATTGCCTTGTGTTGAGCCAAGTAGATGGTGCCGAAGGCGCCCAAGCCGAGCTCCTTCACTTGTCCCGATCAAACCACGCATACAAGAATGGTACAGACAACGAGACACCAACGATGGTATAGGCGCACTTGCGAGCAGCGGAGTTGGAAAAGTAGACAACAGCTCAAGTCCTTCCCAATAGTAAAAACGTCTTCCAGCTGCTGCCCATTGCTTAGGCAGCGGTACACAAAGTCCGTGTGCTGGATGAGACCTGACATCGGCTGCGGCGGAAGGCTGTGTTGGGCAATGGCGCTGTGACAGCATTGTTCAAACATGGTGGCAGCTTACGGTTACACGTCGTCGCATCTTTCAGTTCTCAACTTGCTGTGTGTCTTGCCTTCCTCGTTCTCGGCACAAAATGCTGGGAAGGTCTAAATCGCAGAGGCTCTGGGGAGTTCGGAGTGTCGCCACTTTCTGAGTTTATGAGACTGAGCCTCTCACTTATTCTCACTTTGTCATAAGCACATTCAATGGCTCGATGGGTTTTCATGTGCCTAGGATTGTGGATTTGCAGTGCTAGACTTCTGAATAATTGTGAGACTGAAGCTGTTTGATAAAATACGCATGAGTCGAAAAGGGGGATGGGCGGCCGGAGCTAGTGTGCTTGCTTTGATTGCCAAAAAGTGCCGGATTGGGACGCAATCATCCTTACTCGAACCTTGAATTAAACTAAGAGTTGCACGGTTTTGCGGAGCTCTTCGAAAAGCGGTTGCAAGCTTATCTGGGTTCCTGGCGCTGCGACAACTTCTGCTTCTCACCGTCCGGGCCCGATGCCGTCCTGCAAGGGACGTTTGAGTGGGTTTGAGTGGGTTTTGGTACCTTTGCAGCTTCAGGCCCTTCCCCTTCTGCCTGAAGCGGTGAAAGCCTCCGAAGTCTTGGCAGCGGAGTCTCTGGTCTTTGTCCGTCCTGCGAAGACACGAAGACACGAAGGCAGGCCTTAGCCTTAGAGCTGCACTATGCTGCACTCTGAAGTTCGAGGAAGCTGACCCGATGCCTGCACCAAGCGATGACGGGGACCACGTAAGACACGCGCCGCATGGCTCCATGAGGTTGCCACTCTACTTGCCTTCCGTTGTGGGTTGCTACTTACGCTGTCGTTTAGCAGGTTGTTGCGCGCAAACAGGAGCCTTTTCGGGGTGTTGGCATCATTTTGAGCCACCAGTGCAGGCATGCATTTGCAGCTAGGTCTCATCTACTCAGCGTGAAGGACTTCGTGCATGTTGGCACAATCCCTCTCACTCCCCCGCGTGAGTTTGGCAAAGTATTGAAAGCTTGCGCACCGCCCAGCGGTTCCGTAGCTCTCCCCAAAGATCGCGATCCTGCAACAGTGCTTTCGGAACGTCAGGTTCAGCTCAGGCATTTTGCAAAACAGCGCTCGCACATGTAAGCCGTTTTGAGTCAAACGAACAAACCAGTCCGATCCGGTGACAGCCACGTCTTGACCACAGGATTTCTTCGCTTCTTTCAGAGAGGGATGTACGAACTCTCCAGAAGCTGAGCTTCACTCCTACACTAAGGATCCGGCCATCATCCATCCAAGGCCGGGAAAGAAATCCTTGCGCGGCGAAAGATATGGGGAAGAGAGAGAGAGAGAGAGAGAGAGATGGCACAACATCAACCTATTTTAATCTATTTCAACAAGATTTGCCAAGCGTCAGTTCGGAAAGCGACTTTGGGATCCTGGACGAGTGTGGCATAACCTTGAAAGCAAACAACTGCTACACCCCATTGCACACCGGACATGCAACTACTCAAGACGGCTTGTGCGGCCGCATGCTGGAGATGCTGGGTTTCGTATGGCTTGCGGGCTCTATCATGCGACAGCAGGGCGAAGCCCTAGCAGCCCTAGCAGTAGCATCTGCGAGTTGTCTGCGTCACTCTGCGTGTGCGGTTGCATACACCGTCTGAGGCAGCTGGCCATTGTCATTCCATGCACTGACGCAGAAAAGATCTGCGTCTGCTCCTCAATGTCAGAAGAAGACTGGGGCCTGTCTTCTGATTCTGCTGCTTCTACCGTTGACAACACGCAGTCGCTGGCTGAGGCGCGCTCTAAGCACGGGCCGCATGGCTCCAAAGTACCTTGTTTGGAGATGTCGGAGAGCAAAGAACACAAAGCTCCGCTCGATGCAAACGTGAAAGCAGGCATGATGGGTATGGACATGAAGCCTGCTTCAGAGTTTCAAGCAAAGGGAAGACATCAACATGTCGGCGGAAACTGCGTCGGGCCGAACGGGACCAGCAGCAGACCCCTGAATGGCTGGAGCCCCTTGCCGATGGCGCATCGGAAAAAGAATCACGCCTGCTCACAAGTTGTGGCCTCACAGCTGCCAAGACGTTGCTAACGGTGTGGGCTGGAATCCCTGGAGAGACTTTGGCCGTTGCATATTTGGGATACTTGCAGACCTGATCTGCCAAGGCAATGTGGATCAACATGGTACATTACGCAGCGCGACACCCCGATTGGGAACACGCGGAAAGCTTTATATAGGGTCTTGCCACACGAGACAACAACAGAGCATAGCGGAGTTCTGCAAAAGACAAGGCCGGTGAAGGGCACGCGAGTGGCACGTGTGCAACAGCTGGGCAGCACCCATTCTCGCGAGTGTCCAGCTTTGGCTGAGGGATGCAAGGAGATGCAATGGAGATGGGTCTGAGATGCAATGGAGAGGCATTCGCCTCATTTTGCTCCTACCAGGTCCCCCTTCTGCTGACTTCTATCTTCCGTAACAAGGAGGTAGTTGCTACCTGGCAACAAGATGGTCCAGCTCACTTTCCTTGCAATTGCTGGACATCGGAAGTGCGAAGGCCCTTATTCGCCATCCGCTGGCTGCAAGATTTCGGCTTGGTTGCGTTGCGCACCCACCGCGCCTCACCTTTGATGCGGGAGGTTTGGGATGCAACCGGATCTGAAGTGTCTGGCAGTTCCTTTGATTTGCTAGTCGCAGTGTGTCGCATTCCTGACATTACTGTTGAAGCGTTGGGTGTGCAGTGGCTTCTGCTTTTGCGGTGGAATGCCGCTTGCTTCTAAGTTGCTGGGTTGCGGGTGCCACGTTCTCTGAAAGTTCCCACAGACCAATGTTGCTGCTGCACTTCTGCAAAGCTTTTTGTGGCATGCTCCGGCCAGCTCAGCTTAAGAGCTGTCCGCAGGTCAGGGTGAAGAAAAAACGGTTGGGATGTCACAATCTCTGCGCGCAGGACTAGAGGTGTCATATCCAGTGCAGTGAGTGATGAGATGCGCTGAGGTACTTTCTTGCTATGGAACTAGTTTACGCGACCGCAACATGGGCCAAGAATGTCTCTGGGACCACTTCAGAGCTCCATTCTAGTAAAGTTTTGCTGCGCAGATCGATTGCAATGTCCTCAGTCAGAACCTAAGCGTGTTTCTGTGTCCCTGGCAAACTTTGCTGCTAGGGCTCACACACTGAACGAATTCTGAGGGTCTGTCATGACAGCAACAAACGATCCATATGCTCGATTGGGAGACCCACAGGCTTCGTCCTGTGATTGGAAAGGCTTCGAGATGCTAGAAAATCAGGATACGCTCAGCACCGTGGCATGAGATTTGGTGACAGCTCGGAGACTAAACTTGCGACGCTAAGCTGCGCCATCCTACCCCCGAGCAGTGAGAGCCCAGCTCAAGGGAATGAGACAAGTAACAGCGCAGAAAATGTCGGAGCGCGGCGAGTGAAAAATGGAATCAGGTTGTGAGCGCATCGGCCCCCGTGGTACCACGTTTCAAGGCCTAAGATCAGAGTTGCCCTCACGAATGCTCAATATGCTCATGAGGCAGCAAGTTTGGTCCTCACCTGCTCTGAACAAGTGCAACGTACAGTGCATACTTCAAACTTCATCCGCTGCACGTTGCTGCAGATGTGCCAAAGGGAATGCTGCGGTGTTGGCCCATCTTTGTATCTCTGGTATTCTCTGTTGATAGGTTACCAAAAAACACGCGCCACAAGAGATGGAGCTGAAGTTTTTGAGCCTTGCCTTCGTTCAGAATACGAAGCTATGGAAACGCTGAAAAGGGAAGCGAGCAAAATCAGACCTGACATAAAGCCAAGTGCCGTTGCATCTCCTTGCACGCGCGCCACTTGACCATTCCTTGGATGACCACAAGCAAAGACGAGACTTGATGTTTCGACATGGGCATTCACTGAAGCTGGACAAATACATTCACTAAACATACACAAGCATTGGCTGATGACATGACAGTCTATGCGAGCAGGCGTGAAGCCCTTGCGGCAGTTCACAATGCTGTAGAATATGAATTCTTCAAGCATTGTGCATGCAATATTGCTTGCTTGCGCGCTCTTGCTTGCCTACATCTCACGGTCTGGCTGCCAAAACGCTGCAGCTGGAAAACACAGTCTGCGCTGTCCACCTCCAAAGTATGAAAGGCGCTCAGCACCACCTTAGAATATGTCAGGTGCACGGGTGCAGGTCATGGTGGTAAGTTTCTTAGATTCAACTTTTGCTGCTCAGGCACGGTTCTTGCTCGCCTCTTTGTGACTTCAGCCGGAGAGTTGGAGAGTCCCAGGCCTGCACAATTTGGCATGCACCAATCCTGTACTGTGCGAGTCACGTAGACGACAAAAGCAAGAATGCCATGAAGAATGCCATGCAAGGCGCTGTCTGGTTCTGAGCCAGGGTATGCTGGCGCAAGCATACGGAATCTCCACGTTCCTACAGCATCCTCTAAGAGTCTACGCCCTCAAGCACTCAGCAACGTGAAGCTTCATCTCAGCAACGTGAAGCTTGAAATACGTGAAGCTTGAAATACCTGGCTGCGCAAACGACAAATACGATGCTGGCATCATTGCTGGTAGAACATGCCAGCCTTGACCCTGGCGTGCCCACCCCACCCCCAGAGAGCCCACGGAGAGTTCCGTTGAGTATCGCCGAGTATCTGGAGTGCTCACCTCCCACAATCCCGCCGATATATTTGTGGAGAATTCCGCGGAGAGTCCCGCTTAATTTCCTTGGAGTGAAAGAATCCCAGTCCCGCCGAGGAGTATGCTAGGTGAGTTAAACCCCCAGAGTCCCAGAGCTGCTGTGTCCAACCCAGCAGAATACTTAGAGGAACCGCGACAGGACGGCTCCCACATTGGTTAGCTTTGGGCTGGGGATGAACAAGCAAAAAACTCATACATTATTGTCGTTTTTCAGCACACGACGAAGAATGATAATTGATGGCCTCGATTCTGCACGAACTCCAGAATGGTCCCCATTACAGCCTGCAGGTAGTCAGGTATAAAGTGACACAAGGTCAAGACTCAAAACTGAATGCCTTGACAACACCTCACATGCGTAAACCAAGCGCGCGACTCTGCAGGAGTGATCCCACTTTTCCCTTGCAATTTGAGGCAATTCTGCCGTCCTGGCCTTACTCGTCAAAAGCTTCACCGGCCCTTTGGGTATCAGGTGCTTCTGTCGAATTCTGCCAATGAATCTGGGCACGTTGGGTGCCATGGGCAATCCAAACGTCAGGCTGCAGATGACCAGGAAGGGTATCCTTTGATGATTGTAATGCCAGCAAACTGCCGAATGCCGACTGCTGGCAACGAATGGAGAGGCCAATCAGCGTGCACCAAGCCATCATAGTCTATGCAATCCTGTCGAGTCGAGGTGTGTGTGTGTGTGCGTGTAGCTGCTGTGCTGCGAGTTCTGGAAGACAGGCGCGGCCGGGTAGGCATCAATGAATCACAGAGAAATGCGTTGGGGCGTCAAGCCATGGGCGGGGGGAGGTTGTCAGCGTAAGGAACTTCGTGGGCACAGGCTCTGGGTTCCGAAGCTGAAGCTGCTTGGTGTTAAATGACCCCGAAGCCCAAGCGCCATCGAAGCAAAAGCATGCTTCAGCCAAGATGAGGGCCCTGAGCGATCCTGTATCCTGAGGACTTGCGGCTCCGTCGTAGGAATCCCTAGGACACCCTCGTCATGAGCCCTCAGCCAGCTCGGGGCAGAGGCTTCACTCTTCGAAGGCGTTAATGGTTTTGTGCTAAAGCCAATGATCAATGTGTGGGGCTGTTCGACAAATCTCCTGTGCCCCACACGCTCCTCCAGAGATTCCCACAGAGTCGCAGAGTATCCCTGGAGCCCACGGAGAATTCGGCAGAGAATCCCAAAGTGCCCACCCTGGAGGCCACTCACACGGGGCTGTAAAGGATGAGAAGGGTGCTACGCCGTTACACATTGGTACGCCAAAGGGCATGCATCTCGACAACAAACCGTAGGTTCCAAGGCTAGAATCGGCTAGAAACACAATGAAACGCATAGAGAAAGCCCACTCAGGGCTTACAAAATACCTTTTGTTTCTGAGGTTGAAGTCGTCCGAGGTTCACGGAAAACCTTTTGTTATGGAGGTTGAGGACTCCTCAGGATTTACACAAAACCTTCTGCTCTGAGGGCCTGGACGCCCCCCAAGGCCCCCAAGGGAAGTTTGAATTTAAAAGACTTTGCAATCCTTGGGTCAACCCAAGCCATCAACAGTATTGAACATAAAAAGGAGGCCCGTGAGGAACCCAAAGAAACATGATTGTCTCCCAAGAGTCCACGGATCAATTCCTTTGTCAGGCTATCCGGACGCTTCTCTACAAACATACTCGCCTTGGCGACTTCAAAGGGCACTGCTGTGTCACCTTTAGTAGCAACTTTCTACCCTCGGCCGTTGACTGGGTCCAGGGCAGTGCGAGCTTCAAGGCAGTGTAGGCGGCTGCATAAAACTGGCAAACAACGGCAAATCTAAACGTAAATAGCTTCCGACGCCCTTCAAATGTGGTGTAAACACAGCGGAACCGGATGAACCGGTACCTGCAGCGAATGCGGCAACAAGCTCTAATGAAGACACTGCGTCTCAAGATGTCGAAGGTCTGCACGGAGCTCAAGTAGCATGAAGCTGACTGAAGGAAGGCAACTGCAAATAAAGAACGCTTCGGATTGCCCATAGCCACCACAGGCAGTGCCGCTACATTGTCTTGCCACCTTCCGAGTGGATGGTGTCCTTTCTTGCACTTGCCGCGCGGTCGGTTCACATCATGGTGTGGCTGCTGCACTGTCAGCTCTGCACATCTACAGTCGCAGTTGAGCCTGATGCTGAGGCAATCGAAGCATGCTGTGGATTGCTGTTCTGCTTGCATCCAAGCGCGCGGCTCGCCGCAACTCCGGCTGATAGAAGCGCATGAGGGGCTTGTGCATGACCTGACAAGTAAATGGCAGTGAGTCAGACCTGATTGCAAAGTTCTTGGCCAGGTTTAGGAATCACATGAACTTCGAATGCATGTTGGGCCACGGGCGTGATGCAATGATTCAAGCCAAGATGCGAGGACATGTGGATTGGTTATGAAGGCTCTGGCCAAGTGGATCGTCACTCTGTCTGTAGAGGTCAATGTGCTGAGCCACGTGTCGTCTTCCTGAGCAGAGGTCGACTCACAGAACAGACCTTACGTTTTTGTAGCATGCGCAAAGGCATAACTGAACGGTTGTCCACAACCTGCATAAAAGTAGAACGGAGAGAAGTAGTCAAAGAACAAAAGTGACGATGCTTTCAATGCTTTGCGCACAAATCCGCACCTCAGTTTGGTCGACGGTCTGCTGCGCCCAATCCTGCGACAAACCCCTTGAGGCCCAATATTCGCAATTTGGCAGTGCATTGTGCTGAGAAGATGACTTCGATGACGTATAGTCACCGTTCCAACGCACCAAGCACTTGACAGACTGCGACACTTCTTCCCGGTGTCCACATGTCCTGATGCAAGCGGCTCACGAGGTTTGGAGCCATCCGCAAGCTCTCGCAGATTGCCACCACGCGAGTGATACTGCCCTAAGCGGGAAGGATTCTTCAGGAGGTGCCAGAGAAGCAAAGCGCCGAACCAACACTGCATACAACACTGCTGCGTGCAGGCTCTGTGCAAGCGGTGTGTGATTATGAGCATTTGCCCAAGTTATCCATGCAAATGGAGCTGTAAGCCCAGGAGCCAGCACCTGTTCGTCGTCGGTGCCACTGATTCCTGAGAGCTTTCGAAAGTGCAGGCTGTTGGCTGCCGAAGGTATCCATACTCCAGTGACACTGACCCATTGGCTGCACTGAACTCACTGAACATGTCATCCGACAGGCTTCTCGACTAAGACCAATTGTGCCAGGAATCCAAACAGTAAGTTCCGCTTGAGGTTGCCAGGGATGAACGACGGTGTTTCGGGAACCTGGCCCCCACAAAAGCGCATTTGCGGTAGGAGCAACATTGACTGGGCTGCCTAACCTGCTAAGTGTTAACTGGGGACCATGGTGGACGCATAGTGGTCTCCCGTGGGTGAAGCCGTCTGCAACCCATTCCCATTCCGCTCGCCTGCAGCACGGTCAGATGAGGCGGGATGAAGATCTCCCCACTCGATGGGGGGACTTCGCCGGCGATCAGACGGAGCAGCGTGGACTTGCCCTGTGTTTTGGAAACGGTCGCAAATGTCGCAACATGTATGCTATGCTTTGCATTGTTTTGCATGCCTGGAGCCCTTGAACCCTAAACCCTCAACTCTTGGCAAATAGAGCATGAGTTGGCACGATGTGGCACAAGAAGCGCCTGCCGCTCTCCACCTGGAACAGCAACGTCCGGTTCTCAACAGCTGACTTTGTACCCGGGCTACCCAAGTGCTTTTCTTCTGCGAGAGGACTTCCAGATGCTGAATGCACAGTTCACAACTCACACAATTTTGCTGAAGAGGGGCCCTTGATAGTAACCACCTGTCCTGGGCTGCAATGCAAACTGGGTGAGAAAAATGAGTACATATTGTTGCCAAGTTCTATGAATGTCCTTTCTACCATTTGTAGACCCTTGACCGCTCGCATAAGTTTCACATGCTGCACATCAGCTGAGTTCACGGACGAGAGTCCTTGCTTGAGCGTGAAGGAGGCTCCATTGATGATCTGGTCCGGGCCGCTGTTGTTCAGGGCGCGGGCCATCTGCTTTGTCGCCTCATGAACTAGAAACTGGCAGTAGCAATCCCCGGCAGGCCTTCGGACCTCTACAATGGCTTATGCCACATCGGGTCTTCAGGGACCCTCCGGTCTTCCGCTGTAAATCAGGTGCTTTGACCAGTACCAGCATCATGGTTGTGTTGGGGGGCATAGGCATGGAAGTTGCTTATGCTTGCGGCGTTCTGCTTGCCCTGAGGCGACTGAGGTGCTTTCTCATGCTGGACGTTCTTTCTTTGGGTGGAGTCTTGTGCTATTGCTGCTGTAGTTCGTACATGTCGGTGGCACCGCTGATCTTGGCGGTGTGCGAACTGTGGTGCCAGATTGGTACCAGTTTTTGTTTTCGTCGGAGGGGCAAGGAAGAACAAACCCAACAAAGCCATTCAAGCAGCAAGCAAGAGCATGGGACAACCAACCATAGAAAGACACTAAGGGATGAAGTTGTTCCTTCGAGTTTACACTCGAGTTTACGAAATTGTGCGTTCGGCTATCTGTCCGCTTCTGTACTAAAGCCCCCCCTTCTTTGAGGGCTTTTTGGTGCTGTACTTCGAGCCACTCTGCGCTCCGTCACTTTTTCTGCTCTGCGCTGTAGGCTCGTACAAGAGCTTACAGTATCACCCTCTCTCTCACTTAAAGGTTTAAGGGTCATCGTCCGCGGTCAGTCTTGGCTTGAAGGGTGTTGGTCACAATAAGGTTGCAAAAGGTCTCGCGCTCTTCCAAAGAATGCAATATATCGCAATCGTTTGCAATCGCAGCGCAGAAAGCTGCGAACACTAGCTTGCTCAGCGTATGCGTCTGATTGTTGAACTCTGAATTCTCTCTCTCTCTCTCTCTCAGCCTGCGTGCAAGATGTTCAAAGCAGATTCCAATCACGCAGTCCAGCAACGTATACCACATCGATGATTTTGATGTTGATCAGGTCATCGATGTACTGCGAGGGATCATCCTGATGACCGCTGAAAGCATTTACAATCTACTAAGTGAACGTTCGTGTAGAGTTGGTACGTCGGGAGGATGACCAATGTGTGTCGCCTACTAAGAGGTGGTATATCTGCAACAAAGAGCGAGTGTGCACAATGGACAGCGATCTACACTTCGCCCAGGTTGATGAAACCTAGCTTCCACGATCGCACGTAGCCTCGTTTGAGTGATGGTCGCAACACACATGTTCGCCCCTGCATCTCACTGAAAGCCTGTGGCCTTTGAACATGGAAAATCCGTGCGAGCCACATGCAATGCATGTACCGTGACAACAGATCAACATGGAAAGGGCGTGCCCCTTCCGGTGCACATACAAACTACTTGGTTCTCCGCGATGATCAACTCGAACGTCATGAATGCCAGTCGAAACATCTTTACCAATGCAAGCCAACCAAAATAGACCAACCATCCAAGTTGCTAAAGGCTTGCCTTAGATTAGCAAGCGGCTTTTGAGAGGGGTTCGGGACGAAAGCGAGCGGGGTCATGCGATCGCTAGATCTCCGATGTGAAAAGATCGCTTTCGTGAATGCAAGCTTGAGAACCATGCACTGGTTGCTTCAAGGGGAGTAAGGGGACAGCCTGAGAAATCGAGAGCCCCGAAGCATATGCGCTGAGAGAACTTCGCCTTGTTTGGGGCTTGCAGTATCTTGCGGTCACAAACTGTCAATGCATCATGACCAAACTGTGAGCCAGGATGGAGGAATGCGCATTGGGAAGCTCGATGGGAAGTTTGACTTCACAGGGTGTGGAGGGTCACGTCAGAACGTGCACAGCACATGTATCTAAGGTCCCCCGGCAGATCTTGGCCGAGCATCGTTGCAAAGCTTGACGCTCTTCTATGCCACGCACCAGCCTGCGGTTTGTCGACTCCATCCGGTCCTCGTCGTCCTGGGAAAGTTCTGACTTCCCCGAAGCATCCTCTCTGCGTTCTCGACCCCTTTCCGTCCACGTCTGTGTCACGATGTGTTTTCAGTGAGCTTGAGCCAGTCTTTTGCATTCTTTTGCCTTCGGTCTCCCGGCAACTCTTGGTAAGCAGATTCGTAGAGGGTGTGCGTATGATCCAAGTTTTGGCGCCTCAACATAATATCCAATGGCATATACAGCACGTATAGTTTTTGACCCCGCTTAGGAGAAAAATTCCCAGTGCTGGGCACTCCCTATACATGTGCACTGCTTGCGACCTTCCAATGGCGGCCCATGGCGGCTCTCTTTCACTCGTCTTCTCGCGCTTTCGCGCTTGCTTTTGCTCTCACACTTGCTGGGCTTCCACCGAAGACACAGGCATCCGAGTGGCTGTCGGCACATTCAGGAGAATGGTGAGGTTCTTGACCAACTGGAATGCCTTGGGTTCTTGATTCACTTCCTAGGTGCAACAGTGCCAAGCGACAGTCTCAGCCAAAGCACTTGAAACATCGTGATCATTGTATCCTTGGGACAGACCAGGTGAGAAGCATCAGACACAAATCCTGTCTCTCGAGTAGCCGTATGCCTCCGGTTCTGCTACAGGAAGTGAAGATCTAGTCTTCCACATATTATGAGGTGCCCCATGTAGTGGAACAGCGCAGGTTTCGGTGAAATTGAGTGCCAAAACTACCTGGCCACAACTCTATCACTACTTCTAGAGATGAATGTTCCTACCATGGCCGAGACTCGTAACCAGCTTCCATCGATGCGCCAACCTCGTGGAATATTCCAAACGTCGCCACGAACGTCCCGACGCTAGACTCGCCTGCCAGATTGCGTACATTGATACAGTAGCAAATGGAAGTCCTGCTTTGACCCTGCTTCTGATTAGAATGTACATGAATGTGCCGCTGCAGAGTCTCGTCAAGCCTCGCTGCAACTGCCGCGTGCCGAAGAACGTATACGCCACCATTGAGATCGTCCTGATTCTATGCAACGGACGTGTGCACAAGGAAGCAGCTTAATTACACTTAAGCACTTCCTGATGCATGACAATTCCCCGGCTGCCGAGAGGCGTGAGCCAGGGAAAGAACCTGCTGTTGTTCAGATCCATGACCGAGCAACCCTGGGCAGGGTTGTTTTTGCTTGGAACTCATAAATCAGAGAAAGCGAAACCGGAGCTCCTCAGGCCGTGTGCATGCTCTGAAGTCACTGAGAGAGGGACATTTATGGCTTTGCTTTGCGCAACCACATAGTCCCAAAACCTTGTTTCGATGCAAGTTCTCTCAAAACAGAAGCTGTCTCTGACCTTTGTAATTCCGAAAAGCCCGGTCCATGCGAGAGTTGTGGTCTCTTCCCCAACAGCGAAGCGATGGGGTCTCAAGCCCTTGGGTACGGAGCGGGTTTCGGAGCAGGTGCCGGAGTGGGTTCCGGAGCAGGTTCCGGCGCGGGTCCTGGAGCGGGTTCCGGAGCATTCCGGAGCGGCTTCGGGAGCAGGTTCCACGGGCCAAGGGCTTGAGACCCCTTTTTCCCCCATATAATGGCTTGGCCTGGCGGTATACAAGTGTAACAGCGATGCATGCTAAGTCTTGCTTGCAAGCAGTCTGCTAAGCTGTCTCTGTTCCATGGCCCGGGGCATGTGTTTCTAACTTTTGTGGTTCCCAAAAGCCCGGACGGCTGTCCGCGCTTGTTTTTTCGAGGTTTTTCACGGTCCGCGCTTGGGGCTTGGAGTCAATTTGATTCGTTGTGAACTTTTGTAATTCCCAAAAGCCCGGAAACTAATACATGAAAGCATCGCATTCGGTTTTTTGGGGGGGGGCCGGGGTTGAAGCATCTTTAGTCTTCTTTGCTGTTGGGGCTACAGTGGGCTTGGTTTTCGTGTCCGCGCGCCTAACACACATTCGAAAATTCGAAATTTTCGTTTTTTCGCGTAAACTCTGGAGCCGCGCTTGGTTGACACATCAGCTGGCAGAAGGTCATTTGTTAGCATGCAACTCGGATCTCGCACAGAGAGGGTGGCACTAAAGAAAGCAGAAGGCCGCCGTGGCGTAAGGCGGAGGCAGAACAATGTGTAGCCGGCCAGAGCTTGCTTGCCATGCTCAGAATACATCTGGCTTGCTTGTGGGGACAAAAGGCTAATCATGCCCCCGGCTCCGGTGCCATGCACAATGATTGCAAAATTGTAAGCCGTTGTCGTCAGTGAAGGCTTGAGTCACTCTTGCCCAAGTCGAGAGACCGGTCCACAGCTTTGGAGCGCTTCTTGAAGTCCTCGGAAAAGGGCAGCCGGTCAACCCGTGATATCCCCCGTGTGCGTCATCCTGGTCATGCCATGCTCGTGGCGTGCACACAAACACGCACACACACACACAAACAAACAAACAAACACACACACACACACAGAGGGAGATCGACTGTTCCTATCTGTCATGGTAGCTCCGCCCGCTCGAAAATGGCTCGGCGTAGTAATGTGCAGCATAAGCACGACAACACACAATTCAATAGCTCCTTGTTGTTACAGACCCGTGTTTCCACACACAGATTTCGACAAATCGACAAGGTCTTGATTTTGAAGACAGCTTCTTTTTCTTCGAGGCACCCACTGTAAATTCTCACATAACTCACAAAGTGCAAGGCATGCCCTTCTTTTGTAAGAATGGGTCAGGCGAGGTTTCAAAAGGCAAGGCAAATCGAATGCTAGTGTGAGGGCTTTGCTCCTGATCCCCCGAATGAGACAAACGGAGGGATTGGCCATCGGCAAAGGCCTGTGTTCCCTTCTTAGGGAACCGGGTGGGCAGGCCGATATGAACGTGTGTAGTTCGAGTCTTTGGGCGGCCTACTAGAGTGTGTTCTGGCTCAAAACCATGTTATCACCTTGAGACATCGTCCCACCATCGTTGCCACTTACATGCCGACAAAGAGAATGCATGTGTATCTCCAGCGGCCATGCTGCTGGTGACCCGTAGCGAGATTCGATGTGAGTTGAAGGCGGCACCTATGCAATATGGTCGAAAGGGGGTTGTACCTATAGGACAGGTACGCCGGTCGCTCCCCGTTGAGCCATTGATGCTAGTACCCTGCCGACTGATTGGAGCACACGTCTCAATGCCATTTCATCCACGAGGCACGCGCGCATCGTACGGAGAGGCACGGCCGCTCGTGGCTCGCGGGGTTGGGCTGCCCGCTTCGGCGTGCTGGTGCCCTGACACTTCCCGCGCCCCTAGTAATGGGCTTCGAGATTGTGAGATTTTCTCCGTTATGCGGAGGTCTCGGGTGAGCTTGTTGTTCACCAACCACTTCACGATGTTCGCCAGTGCCGAAAAGCACGGGGAGTGGCCGTGATCATGATCCAGCATGCTGGTGCGACTATGCAAGCCAAGCAAAGTGCAAGGCGACACTTTCGACACGGCACTAAGATCCTTAATTTGCCGAGAAGTGAAGCCGAACTCGCAAGTGGAAGAAACTTGAACTATGGATATAACAACAGCTACCAGGGCTCCTGGCGGTTGTTAGTGAATGTGCATGTAGCCAACTCACCAGCAGTAGTGATGTGCATCCAGCATGGCAGGTGCGACAAGTTTGGATTGGGGCATGCCATGGTTGCCAGCTTCGTTGGCCTGTGTCGCAAGGCTCTCCGAAAAAAAAAGACCTATTTTTGCTGTCGTGAACAAATGCATGGGGAATACACACACAGACACCCGTGCGGAGTCAGTTTGCTATTGTCCCCACTGCATGTCACAATACGCCACGGCACCTGGATGAGATCTTGATTCACGCAGGCTTGGTGAACGCCTCAGATTTCACTTGATTGCAGTTCGTGCTGGCGGCCGAAGCAGCTTGTAGCGACGGCCGGGAGCTCTCAGCCACATGCCGATGTGTGTTGAACACCCAGAAGATAAACTGGTTCTGAAACTTGCTTGGCACAAGCTTTCGGTTTCGGGGACAGCCAGGACAAGCATGCCACGACTCAGTCATGACCCTGAAAGCCACGAAATGTTCTGGTTTGGGCCCTGATTGGCGCATGTGGCCTCGCACAACTGCATTGTCCGCGGCTAGCTTCCGGTCCTGCATTTGTGGCAGGGACTTGCCAGCCCTGCAAGCCTGCTACACTTCTTACTACGGACGCTCTTCTGCCTAGCATGTGCTACCATCTGGCATGCCGTGCACACCTGGACACCTCTACCTAAACACTGAGCTCCACCATCTCCACTTGCCAAAACACATTTCCAAATTGACCCTAAGTCGTTTGCGTAGTTTCCATGAACCCCGGTACCTGCAGTGTTCGCATCTCCGGCGACCGCACAGCCATCCAAAGTAGTGCCAGGATGGGATAGATGGCAAACGGTATGGCGGTGTAGCGATTCCTGCGTAACTTTGCATGAACTCGACAGTTCAGCCCCTTTCAAATCTCGAATTCTAGCCTCTGGTCAAAGCATCCGGTCTTGTTCCAACTGCAGCTTGGCAGCTGAACAAGCAAGAAGATCATGGTCACGAAGATGCGAACTGAGATAGCAGAGATGAAAAGTCATACCGGGTAAGATGATCCTGGACTGAAACAGGCTTCTGCCTTGGGCCTGGAGCACCATCACAAAGTACGACAGCAGCACGCAGTAAGGACTCCAAAGTGTTGGACTCTGCTCAATCGGTGGTCGAAAGGAACATGTGCTCAACATTGCTCTCGACATTGCTCTCTCAACCAGCTGAGGGCTTGGGGGCTCTAAGCTAGACTAGTGGGGGAATGTGGGGGGCTTCTGAGACCAAGTGCGCAAGACCTCGATGAGGTGGAAGCCTCGCCTCGGCAGAGGGAGCACAGCCGAGCACGTAGTGAGCCTTGCCCCTTTCTTGTTTATCTCCATTTTTCTCCATTTTCCCCCTTTTTTTGGAGTCCTGCAGGCCGCTTTTGTGCTTCAACGGCTCAAACACCATAGCCGGACCGTCGCTTCAGGGCGGCCAGGTGCTTTTCAAGAGCTGCGAACTTGATCAAAGCTGAAATGGGCTGACTAAACCGACTTCGGTGCAGAACTGCAGCATGCGTGCTCGCATATGCTCATTCATTAACATTGGCTGCACCGCTCAGAGGAGTCACACATGCACACGGAAACCAGTGGAAACCAACGCATCTCAGGGCGCGGCATGAACCCATCATGCACCAAAAGAGGTATGTCCCGCACACAAGCCATGGAGATGTCTGCATCAGGTCTCGGTTTGCCATGATGAGCAAAAGGAATTTTACTTTAACCATGCAAGCATGCAAGCGATGATGATCATGACATATCATGGCGCCCGCTGGGTCCACACGTCCCAGAAAGCTGTACAAGCGCCTATGTGCCCTCGCTATATGGGTTTCTGGTGCAGGCTCTGGGACAACCATCACGTTCAATGCAAATCCCGAATACTACCAATGCGAGACATTCATGCTTCTACTCAGAAGTTCGCAGCACTTTCCACCGAACGCCGCCAAAGTTGTCTCATTGCAAGCTATGAGGCATCTTCGCTCGTTCGTGTGCCTGACAGCGACGTGTGCAAACATGAACAGCTCAGGCCAAACACTTCAGAAGTGACCAGGCTTGAAAGACTGCGTAGAGAAACGGAACTTGTGTTTTTTGATGTGGATGAGAAAGGTTGAGAGGTTGAGAGGGCACCATCTGTGAGAGAGGCCTTGAAGCTCATGAAGCGGCGAAAAAGCGCAGACACCAGTGTTCTGCGGATGGTGCCGGAAATGCCAAGTCTAGCCTGAGTTGCCGGCCAATGACAGTGACCGGTTGCTTCACATTATCGCTTTTACTTCTTCACTGCTCAGCACCACACCCTCAATCTGGCAGATTCAAAGGAAAGTTTTTCAGAGCGGGACACAGCCTGGTGCCTCGAAAGAGGGGGGGTTTGCCGGTGGCCGTAGCTTTGATAGGGCATTTGCGAGTAGCAGGCAGCCAGACTGCGAATCGCAAACGGCCGTGCTATGTAAGATTGATCGACCATGAGTCGATTCGATGGCTTCTGCCACGAGTTCATGTTGCCACAGAAAGATAGCAAACCACCAGCACAACTTCCACAGTGTGGGGAGTGAGGCAAAGGCAATCTCATGCTGGAGCCACGAACCGTCCAATGCCGCGAAGCATCTCTCAGCACATCCAGTACGTGCAGGATGGCGAAGGGAATCAAATAGAACCTAGAAAGGGCGGATCGTGTTTTGCAATGTGCCATTGCGATGTGACCACAGTTCCAAAGTTTTTGTAAACTTAAAGCCATCATGAAGGCACTCCGGCACTGCGAGCAAATGATCGGGAACCACGTTCCTCGCATGGCACCTGGCCTGGGGAGTCTTCTCGGGAGCTGCTTCCTGTACCCTGTGCCAAACTTGAGCTGCGACCAGGAATTTCTAGGCACCTCCTGCCAAGCGTCTACTTGGGCCCTTGGAGGCATCGCCCAACTCTCTCTTTTCTAACTTTCTTTCACGGGGCAGAACCTAGTGCAAGGCCCTTCGTACATGGCTTTGAAGCTTGCAGCGAACGTGGCTGGGACATTACCCAATGTTTAGGCAAGTCCCTTAGCAGATCTGAAAAACACTGTGCCCTAAACTGCTGTGGAGGATCCTTCCTTCCGACCTTCCTTACGTCTTTCGAGCATGACCCCCAAAGGGTCGCGCCGAAGTGCGCTCAGGTACGAGGCTTGGTGAGACTGGTGCCTGTAGCGCTCGTTTAGCCTTGGAAGTATGCCTGGTTAGCCGGTTGGGCGAGCGAGTGAAGTGTTAGCGCTATGACCGGGAAACAGTCCCTGGTCGCTTTCTCTCTTGATTTTTATCTTTCCTCCCTGCACGTGTAGATACATGTAGCCCCCATGCCGCTCCCCCCTTCTTTTCGCTTTTTATGACCGCCGGTTGTATGACCGCCGGGGGCGGGTTTCGACGCCCTCTTGCGACACGCGCGCCCCAACAGTGTGGAAAGACGCTACAGAGATCCACGACCCTTGTTACATGTTGACTAAATCTCCCCTGCGCAGTCTGCGCTCCCCCATCTTTGGTGGCCGATTGGAGACAAGAGCCAAGGCCCAGCCACTCTCTCTCTCTCTCTCCCGCACGCATGGCCCCCCCCCGAAGAGAGGGCCGCCTCCAGGGGCGCGCGATGTCCAAAGTTTGGTCGGAGCGAAAACTTCCCCACCTGCCCCCACCCGCCTCCACGACAAACAACACGTCACTCTCTCTCTCTCTCTCCCCCACGCATACAACACGTCACTCTCTCTCTCTCTCTCCCCCACGCATACAACACGTCACTCTCTCTCTCTCTTTCTTTCTTTTCCTTCTTTCGTGGGGCTACGGCTAGGGGTCAGGCCCCCGGGCGAGTTCGCCCGTCCCCACTTTGAGGGTATGTCAGGCGCTTGTGGAGGATGCACTGACTCTCTCTTGCTGCAGTCCAGGGCACATCCCAAGCACCAACGCAGTGGCTTCCAGGTTGTCTGGCGAGGTGAACACAGTAGGGGCGAAGTCGGCGAAGTTAAAATTGCAGGAGCTCCAAGACTTGAGGGTTTCTGGGGGCAGTATTGCCACAGGGACTTGGGAGGGCTTGTACTACAGTATGTAGAATGTCAATGTCCAGATGTATCCAGCTACGACGCACTATTTGTTCAGTGATGTTGAACTCTCAACGAGCTCTCGCCTGGCACCAGTAGTTGTGTGCCAAACACGCTGCCCCCGATGTCCTGCACATCAACGGACAATAGTGTCTGCGCTTCTGCCTTCTGAATCCTCCGGCCTAAGTTCCATTGGACCCCTTAAGCACTGGCCCACATGGCAATGCCAGCTCCCATCGGCGCAGTTTGCAGTTGGTCCGTTCACCCCCTGGAAGCAAACAAACCTATTCACTCGCAGACCTGAAATCCACCTCGGAATATGCTTCGCAGCTGCCAGCTCGCGTCCTCCTTCAAAAGACGGCTCGTCTGTGAGTCGATCTGTGAGTCTGAGTCCGACGACGACGAGACAGCGGCCTGCCGAACAATTGGATCGCAGAATCGGCCGCTGGATGGATACCAGCAGGTCGGGTTTCTTGGATCTTCCAGCCTTTTGCAGTTCAACTTGGCCATCGATGCGCTGACACATGCTTGACGACTGGTAGTAAGCAGTTCTGAAAGCTCTGCGCAAAGTCCGGAGCACCTACCAGTACCTACTCAGCTAAAGAAGCTCGGACCCTCCTCAGGGAGACGCTTGCGCGCGCACACACACACACACACACACACCCACGCCCACACCCACACCTACACCCACACACACCCACCCACACACCCACACACCCCCACACCTCCCCCCCACACCCCCACACCCCCCCCACACCCCCCCCACACCCCCCCACACCCCCCCACACCCCCCACCCCCCACACCCCCACACCCCCCACCCCCCCCCACACCACCCCACACACCCACCCACACACCACGCCCACGCCCCACGCCCCACGCCCCACGCCCCACGCCCCACGCCCCACGCCCCACGCCCCACGCCCCACGCCCCACGCCCCACGCCCCACGCCCCACGCCCCACGCCCCACGCCCCACGCCCACACACATCACATCCATGGATGTCAAACGCTTCTTGAAGGCTGCATCTCACAGTAGTGTGCCGGTTGCCTGAACACTGGTGCATGAAACTGGAGGAATGATTTTATATATATATATATATATGTATGTATATATATATACATCATGCTCAGACGGCACGTGGATGATGACGACGACGATGATGATAAATTTCTTTTCAACGAAAGCAAGCACAGGATGCAACACCCCATTCTCAAAAATTTCGGCAAGTGGTATCCCTTGCAGAGCTGTGAGGGTTTCGCATGTATGCGGCAAGAGAACAGATGGGCCAACAGGACAGGACAAGACTCTCCATCTCTGCCCTAATAACAATACTTATGTGGAGACGACAGGGCTTGGGGTTCAGGGCTGAGGGCACAGGGGTTTAGGAGTTTAGGAGTCGAACAGGGAAAGCTAGGCACATGCCCTAGACGACCTTTGATGCTGCCTCGGCCACTGCCGCTCTTGAAGCTTCTTCCCTTGCTTTGGCCAGAAGCACATTGATGAGATACACCTTCAAAAAGACAGTCCTTGGTCCGAAAACAAAGGGCGCTGCGTTGTGCCTGCATTGGATAAAACAAGTCAGCGGTCAGCTCTGTGCAGGCAGCCGAGATACAAGAGAAAGTACAGATTGTGCATCACAGAGATGCTAACCTCACAATCTGACTGTACTGCATTCGTTCGGAGCTGCTACAGCATATGTGCAATGGCACAAGCTGGAATGCTGTCACCAGGAGGTATGATTTTGCAACTGTAGACGCTCTTTGAAAGGAAGAACTACGAAGAACTAACTGCCTTGACAGACAAGGGCCTCTTAGGACATCACGACATGGGTGTTTTCTCTGCCGCACGATCTTGAACATGTCGCTGCTAGATTAGCTTGTTTTAATGCTTTGTTGGTCCCGCTCGAAGTATCTCGCATGACTCATATGAACCAGGAAGTGTCGTGAACCCCACTGCCTACAAGTATTACCCTCTTCTCGGCATCGATTGCTTGCTTTGCTGTGAAGTTGTGCAGACCACTACAGCCCCGCGATCTGCCTTGCAGCCAATGCTGGTGAAGGACTGCGTAGGGTGCACCATGATATTGAAGGTCCATCGGCAAAACTATTCCAATCGAATCCCACATGCCACCATTTTCTACATTGCGCACAAAATATTTATGCAAACGCGATGCCCGGGTTGTCGACTGCGGACAAATGCGACATCTTGCAGACACTCGTTGCTCTCTTGTGCGGGGCTTGGATGTACGGTACCTTCAATGTGTACAAGTAGTCTCAACATGCTGAACTTCCGACTTTACCCTTGCAGAGTCGGCACAGGAACTTGCTGCCGAAAAGCGTGAACAAGCGCCTTCATCTTGATTCTGGGCTGCATCATGCAAAGCGTGATGAAACTCCAGGCAAACTTCCTGCCAGATGCGGCTCGTCCATGCCCCGAAATAGCTTCACCCGCTTCCTTCTTTGATTGCCCTTCAGCCCTCGAAAATGCAAAAACTTCCCGGACATTGCTCACAGCCACAATCAGCTGCGCAGTACATTGACAGCAAAACCTGATATTTCTGGCAAGTCCTTAATGGTACGTCGTCCAATGAGTTCGGAGCTAATAGACACTCGGCGATGTCATTGCTTGGAAAGGAGTCCTGCAGGGGATGAAAGTGGCTCGCAGAAACAGACTGGACAGGCCACTGTCGCTGTCTCCTAGTTTCGTCAAAAGGGTGGAGGATCAAAAACATTTCCAAAATATCAAACACAAATTTCAGACAGAAGGGTCAACGATTGAAAATCACAGGTAACTTCCGAACATCAGACCTGCACATGCTGTAACTAACCTGCAGAATGTGTGATTGCCCGCGGGTCCAAGCGGTGCATCGGTTGCTCCAAATGCTGCTATAGCTTTGCTGACAGCTCATGGGCTCCCAAAGTTGTGAATGACAGCATCCTGCTTGTTCATCGGCTCCAGACGCCCTCAATAATTACAGCACTCATTCAAGATGCTGTGATTTTCGGCCATGGGGCCCACCAATTGCAAACATCGCGCTTGCATGATAGGTTTTGGCAAGGCTTCAGATGGTGTTGAGGGAATGTCTACTGATGGCGCCGAATGCTTTGAAGCAAGCTTGCCTAGCCCCCCCCTCCACTCCCCCCTCCATATTGGCGAACGAAATGGATGCATCATGGGTTTGGAAAGGACTCGTATGATGTCCAAGGAATGTCTGCCTATGGCGTGCAATGCTTTGAAACACGCTTGCGTTGCTTAAGAGGAGCCGGGGGGGTTGGGGGGTGGCAACCCCCCCCGCCCCGCCCCACCCCCTCACATTTGTCAACGCGGTGTTTGTCCGTGTTTCGTTGGGGTCGAGGTGGGGGCTTCCTCCCCGGCCAATGTGCGCCTGCGGGTTTCGGGATAAAGGCGCGAAACCAGTCATGCACTCTTCCCGTATTCCCACCTAAGTAACCTCCAGTATGGTACAGTAATAGGGCTCGCCCGCTATTGGCTCCGTCTCCCCTTGTGCTCGCTCATACTTGTGAGACTGGCGGCCCGCTCTCGTTCTCTTTCGTCGGTCCTCGTCGATGATCTTGACACGGCAGCCACCTCCTCGAATGAAACACCGCTCCGGCTCCGATAGCTTTACGGCGAACTCCTCACAACGACTCGGGAGTCTTTCGTGCACGAGGCACATTCAGCTGAGCACAGCTCTTGGTACGGCTGTCTCATGCGATACATTGACATCACAAGAGGTCATGAGGCTGTTCTCCCATGCACTTAACTCAGCGACATGTGTGTTTGGACGAACGATCTGTGCTTTACTGGAACTTCCTCATGCAGTGCCCACTTCACAACAACTCGCAGCAAGTCAAACAGATTCAAAGAGTCTAACACCGAATCGTGGCTCTGTGCCCTCGCCTCGCAGGTATGCCAGGCGGTGTCTGTGAGGATGGGGATTGTGACGTGCTGCAATGTTGAGCCTGTGGGAAACCTGAAGCTGGCAGACTTCTCGAAGTCTCTTCAGCTGAGCAATGCGATCTTGAGGACTGATACTTCACCAGTTCATGTCCAATTCTTTTCTGTGTCAGCTTGAGCTCAGGTGGCTCGAGGACGGTGTCCACATGCGAATACCGCACGCCAGCCTGGCACAAGGATAGCTTCATCGGATTCATCGATTCATCGGATTTCATGGGACTTCGGAGCTTAAGGTCTGGTCATGTCTGGTCTCTGCGGTGCTTGAAGCGCAGGGGGCCTGGCCAGATAAATCCTGGGTGTAGCAGCGTACACCTCGCAAGAAGGGATGGGGACCGCATGTACCGCGACAAATCGCTTTCGCAGCCTTAGCACCTGCGTGCCCCCGTTTGCATGACCCCCACGAACAGCCATCAATCTCTCCACCAAGAAACTGCAAGGATTGCTGGGATCACCGGAGCGAATCACCGGCAATTTGACCTGCAAGCTGGACATCACGTTCACTTCCCGCCTTTACGCAATTTGTTGAAAGATTGTGATTTTTCAATTTTAGGACCTTCTGAGACCTTCTGAGGCATATAAAGGCTGGGAGGTGGCCATGCCATGCCAGTTAAATCTCAGCTGAGGCCCTGCCATCTTGGCTTCATTTTCTTTCGCGTCTCCACCCGGTGACTCGTGTGTGCTGTGCTGTTGTGCCATTCCACGTGCGTATGAAGTTCTCGCGCCTTGGGCTGCCTGCGCAATCGACTTTTGGCCATTGCGCGCCATGGTGAGCCAGTTTGTTGCGCTCTCTCCCGGTGCAGGGCACGTTCAAAATGTGCCTCAGCGGCTGCAGTTTGCCCTCGGAGCCACTTTGGTCTCTTTCCGTGGCTGAGTGGCTCGAGGTTGCGCGTGGCGCTGCGCTGGTGTTGCGGTTGACATCTTTCCCTCCATCACTCCCCCTGCTCTAGTCATCCTATCCGTCTCTGTAGCGCTCCCCTAATTCAGAGTAGACCCCGGCCATGGGCTACATATAAAAGGGCATGAAGGCGACATGTCTGCAAAGTGAAAAATCTGCAAGCCTTTAAGCTTGGACTGGTTGGTTGTACATGTTGTACCTAGGAGCAAAAGTTGGCTCATTGCTCACAAGCCAGCAACTAGCTTGCCCACGAGTCCAGCGCCTCCCCCTCATTCTCTCTGGCAAAAAAGAGATTCGTGGCCTGCAGCGCGCAGGGGCTTTCATTAAATGGCCTGATACGAGACTAAGTTCCGCAGCTGATCTTACATTGCTTTGTGCATGGATGGCTTGCAGGAACCCCCAAGTCAAGTCCCAAATGCCAATCGCTGCATAGCCCATCATAGCCCTACAACACCGGTCCCTTTTCTCCACAGTTCTTGGCCCCAGACAAAGCGGACGAGGTCGTCATCATCATCCATGGCCCATAGCCAATGCTTTGTCGGCTTGACATGTGCAGCGGATGAAGGCGAAGCTGGTGGTGTGTTGTCCATTCTTGCTTGGAAGCACTTTCGTCGTCTAGTCTTTTTACGTTGCGGGGACCGCGAACAGCCCACTTGTCCATGTCATGCACAGGGCAAGAACTGAACATCCTCGGCAAGCTATGCCGCATCTTTCGGTGAGTTTCGTGTTCCAGCATGCGGAGCCGACTGACGGCAAACAATGGGGCCAACAGCTTGTCCATCTCGCTTGCTCTGACCTTCAACGAGCTAGCAACAGTCCACATAGAGCTGGGCACGAGAAAAAATCCGGCGAGATCTCGAGATCTTCTTCCAGAAAGATCACCTGGGTACGCTCATGTCGGAAAAACATGGTTCATGTCGGCGCGAGTTGAAACTGTGAGTGGTGGAACTGGTAGTTGTGTGTTGCATTCGGCAGTCGATGTTTGGCTTAATCAGGCCTAACAATTGAATAGCTGGACTGCGGACTGCGGGCTCCTGGGAACTACGTGAACTACATGGAACGACTGTGCTTCAAAGATGCAGGCGTGAGATTCGTTTCCTCGCGTTCAGACTTCTTTGAACGTTGTCCTCCGATTTGAAGAAAGTGTGTGGTAGAAGATCACTAGCGAGATCAGATCACTCACTAGCTAGGCTTGCCACCGCCTCAAACCCAAACTCGTCGAACATCCTGCGTAGTGGCATAGTGCAGTTCTGGTGCTGCAAACTCAGGTTGACTTAGGTCCTCTTTCCAAAGCATACAAGAAGTCCTTCGCATGACGAAGCCGAAGTGTTGGGCAATGCGGACGTAGCCGATGGCCTTTTTGCCGCCGTACCTATCGAGGGTCCCTTCGTCAAGAGAGCGCGCTGTATTTGGGACCATGCGGGACCATATATGCAGCTTTAGGCTTCCGGCTGCTCAATGTTTCTCGAATGCTTGGCTTTCTCCAAAGCGCTGCTGCGGTACTCTGACTTCAGTCGGCACGCTTGAACGGTGCAGAACTTGCAAGGGCACTTCGCCGCAATAGCTGGAGCATTGGGATCGTGCTCATGATGCATGTGATATGCCTGCGTCGGGTTTCTGTGCTCGGCTGAACCGAGCAAGTTGGAGCTAACAAAAAACTCAACATCCCACCCGAAACCCCCAGGAACGAACACCGAGAACAAATTTCGCATCGGCGACTGCGACTCAGCAAAAGACCGAAAGGCTCCAAGAAAAACGACTCGGGTTAGTTTTTTGTGGCCAAGTTTTCTCTCTGCGGCGGGGGAAAACATGAACGCTTCCAATTGGAACACTGATGACGCTCCCTCCCGGAGGGCAGAGATGGCGCTTGACCCATGCCTTCCACAGCACAGTCGCTATCCAACCATTCGGTCCAAGGCTGCACCCTCTGCCAGTCTGCGGAGGAAATCCAGCACATGGGTAAGCTCTGGAGCACACGGAAACGTCCGAAGGGTAACGCTAGGACCTCACGAGGGAGCCCGTCTCGACCAGGTTGTCCTACCCTAGTAGCAACGCTGCCTCTTGCAGGCACAGCGAAAGGGGACACTGTCTATTCGGGGACGTTTTAGCCCACGCGCCGAAGGCACGGGCCGTGGTAAAGCTGAAGCGGAGTTCTCCAGCATGAACCGGTTCGGCTTCAGCACGGGGCCCAGCCCAGTGTCTGCAGCGATGCCATGCCCGCGCTGCAGCAGGCAAAAAGAAGAAACAACCACACAGACAGCCCAAGCAAATCAAACTCCGGAAGTTTCAAGAACAACGATCGACAGAGAAGCAAGCAGCTTGTGACTCTTGCATGGCCACGTGTCACAGAAAGAGATTATTCTGCACGACGAGCGTGAGCCTCTCTGCTCGGGGAAGAGGCGCCCGAGAACAGTGGACCAACATGACCAGCGGAGCCGCCAGGAGATCATGAAACTAAGCAAGACCACTACCCTGGAGGTAGGCAAGCCGTGGGCTGAAGGTACTCCAAACCCGGCCCAGGTACAAGCTCTGCTGCAACATTAGTGTAGCCCAATGGCATGCACAAATCGCCACGATAGAAGCCGAGCGTCTGATGGAATGCTCTTTGCTTCGGTGCTGGTGTGGGTTGCTTGGTTTTGGGGTTGCGCTTTCTTACTTCGGCTTGCTTCATCTAGCTTCTTGCACCATCGCACGGAATCATACATCTTTATTTCGACGGTATGGGAACTGGGATGCTGACGCATTCAAGGGGCCTTTCTGCAAAAACAAAGATCAGACAAGATCCAACAAGGACATCAGTTGCGATCGTGAATCGAAATGGCATGAGTCTAGTTTCGAAAGAGCAGTGTGTGACCAACCGGAGGTAAGTTGCAACGTAAGTAGGGGAACGCAGCATCAGAGATCGTCATGGTGACACGGGTGGGATGAAACATTCCCTAGTTAGCCGAGGCCTGGCCGGTCTTCACGAAGCTTCGCTGCACCAACTGGGCCGCTTGTGAGTTCTTCTGGTGTTCATGGGGGCGGAGATACAAAGTGAGACAGAAGAACACGGCCACATACTGTCAACTCATCATGCCAGACCATCCATGGTGCAGGTGCTGTGAGGACGCGAGAATGCTACTACAGCACTGAACAGATCAAGCACATACCCCCAGCAAACCAGTAGGCCACTGTGCATTGAGGACTACGTATAGCAGCACTTTAACATTGCGGCGCTGATTATTGCGCTCAACACTTGACACCTCCTGCATGGCAGCGTCGTTCGCATCCTGCGGCATTGCTGGGTCGTCTATCTCAGGCATGTTTCTGCTTCCGACGCGTCTATTTGGATCTTTCATTCAGAAAAAGCAAGGCGGAGGACGGGGTGCACAGACATGCTTCGCAATGGCATCTGCCAGTTTCGCTTGATTGTGCCACGCTTGTGGCAGAGGAAAAACCCATGCTAGGAACCGAGCCATCCGAACCATCCGAACTGCAAACACTGAATCGTGTGAAAAGATTGGCAGCCTGTGAGATGACCAATGGAAACTTTGCTGGATCGCGCTGTGCACGGAGAACAGAGTCCATTGTCTTGGCCGTGAAGTCGCGTTCAGTCAGGGTTGAGGTCATTCACACTTCGGTGATTTCTGTGATCGGAGACTGGGGAGGCTAGGCTGGGTAGGCCAAGGCCAACTAAGCGCACAACCCGGTAAGTGTCATGACCGCATACGGAACTCTGCAATCCAAACTTGCGCTGGTGCAGGTGGCAGTGAACTCAACAACCCCCGACCCCGCCAAGGTTTGCAGGAAACACATACCATCTCACGACATCTCATGGTGAATCCAGGATAATCCAGGTGCCAGGCCCTGGAAAGGTACTTTGGCCGCTTGCACCTGAGAGGAATCATCAAGCTTGCACAGCGGTTTGCACTGGAAATGCATTTGCAAGTGCTGGCGTGACAGAGGAAGTTGGGCCAGACTACCTGACTACCTCCCAACTTGATAGCTCGCTAGACTCGCTTTTTCGACAGATTCTCGAGCATGGTTTTCGTTGGGCTCAAGCTACAGTACGTGCCCGTGTAGCCCATGCAGCTAAGAGATTCTGTGTGGTTGCTCTTGCGTTACTTCCCAGAAGACCTGAGACTGTGCGGTGACTCCCAATGCATGCAAAACATGTTGGGCGTGAGTATGTGAGGAAACTCACACAGGTTTCTTCTCTTTCTTTCTCATCTCTTGCTTTTCCCGGCTGTCTGCTTCACTCCTCGAGAGGCTACATGACAGGCGACCACGACCTGCACCTGTCTGCAACCGCGTCTAGTGTGTCCGGGCTTTTCTCGCATCATCGAAATCTGCATGTCATGTGGCGCCATCACAAGTTGGCATTTCACAATCGGTGTCTCCGAGATCCACTCTAAGTGCGCAGCGTTACGATGGCAACGCCGATGGCGCCATTCGCAGCCAATGACTTCAGCAAATCCTCAAGCCATTTATTTGGTAAACTGACTATGGCTGAAGACGAGAATGGTGGCAATGCTTCCATTTTATCTCACTGTACCATGTTGAGGTGATAACTTTGCTCCAACAAGGCACTCCGTTGTGCAAGAGCATTTGCAAGCAAACCGGACGCCTCCGTGAGCTCAGCTGCTGCAAGTGCCTGGCACTTAATTAATACATAATTACATCTCAGCTTGACACCATCGCCGAGGACGCCAGGAAAACATCTGGAAACAAAAAAGGCCGGAGAATTAAACTAGGATTTGTTTTTGGGGGATTTTTTTTGTTTTTTGCTTTCGGGTTTAGGGTTTAGGTTTTAGGGTTTACGGTTAGGTTGTAGGGTTTAGGGTTTAGGGGTTTAGGGGTTTAGGGGTTTAGGGGTTTAGGGGTTTAGGGTTTCGACTAGGGGTTAGGGTTTAGGGTCTAGGGTTTAGGGTTTGCAAGGACAAAAAGCAAAAACAAATCCCAAAAAAAAACGAAAAAAACCCAAAAAGAAATAGACCTCCAACAAAAAACCGTGGATGCTATACATTTGGTTCCCATTTGCTGGAGACGGCGCGTCAAACTTAACCGCGGGCGATCCTCTTTGCCAGTCTTTCCACTTTATTCACCCACATTGTTGACACAAACTATGGGACCACTAGCCCGGCGCAGGTGGACGACCCCAAAAGCAATGACTTTGCATGTTGTGGAAACGTTTAACATCGTCACGAATGGTACGCTTGCTGCCGAATGCTTCCTTCGCTTGCATTCTGAGGACACACTTCGATTCTGCTGTCCTGATGGTCGCGCTGCCTGCTGCTCATCTGTTGCGGGCGTGGACAGACGTGTGATGCAAATAGACTTTCAGCTTTGCCCATACTGACTAAACGCCCTTGGCTCAGGTGCCACCTCCGCGTGGTCAAGGGTGGGGCCCCGAGGGAGGTAGGGGTGCCAAGAGTAACTTGCCTGTGGCGCCATGATTGGTGCACGAATGGATGATTTTGACTGGCTATGGTCATCATGTCATGATGATTTCTCCGATATGAGCCCTCCTTCCACCTCC